TAAGATTCCTCTGTCGTGCAACCAGAGATAAATCGGTGTCACAGTCTACAGTTCAGGAGTCAACAGAGCAAAGAATAAAAAATATTCTCTCCACATATGAATTTATAATAATTTATAATTTATTTTAATATTTTTTTATCTTCTTAGTAAAATGGGAATTGTCACTGTTTATTTCACACAAAGGTTACATTTTAATCCAGTTATATTTGATATTCTGTATAAGTCTGGTCTGTATATTTATACTTTTTATTTATAGTATTTTATTGTTTTCCAGCTAATGTTTACTCTTAGCTGTCCTCCTTTAAATTTGCTTCTTTTAGCTAGTACTGGTGATCCATTAGTCTTTCTCTTTAGTTCAGCTATAACCAATAATTTGCAATAATTCGAGGCTGCAAGACACGCGCGACAGAATGCACGGTAAAGGCATTCATCAATTAAGTTAGCATTATTTTCTAATTGAATGATCGTAGATTTAATTTACATTTTTAAACTGTAAAAAATGGTGTATGCAAATAATGGTTGGAATGTTATGCAAACCAGGGCAGCCAGTGTGGATCTGTCACATGCGGTGTCTGTGTATCTTTGGTTTGATATCAGACGCTTCAGTTATTGGAGCTACAAATCAACTCCATATTGCCGGTTGTTGCGCTGCTCTAGTAATAAAACCATAAGCTGACACAGATACGCAAGCATGCACACAAGGCTTTTCCACTGACCACAGCACCAGACACCCCTTAGTCTCACTCCACAGTTATGGCCACACTAAGTTTGGGTATTTCCCTTTAGAGTGGTTTTTAATAACCCCTCACTGTTTTTTTTTTTTTTTGATCCAGACCAAACAGATTTTCAGATGTCGTTGATGGCAGGAGCTAGCGTGTTTGCTACGACTTGAGCCAAAATAGAAACCGCACAGGCAGCGTCTGAAGTGGGGTTAGTCTTTGTCCTTCCTGTCATCAGGATGATATAGGGCTGTGAGAGGACATCTCGGCGTCTCTGCTCACATTGCAGTCATTCCTTGTTGCAGCACAGCTGAAATTACCACCACTCTTAGTGGTCATGGGAAAGGGAGACTCATGACCAGAATTTGCTCCTTGCCTTTTGTCATGATTTCAGTGGGAGGAGAAGGAGGAGCAAGGGGGAGTGGATAAGGGTGGATTTGCTATGCTAATTAGGAAGGGCTTGTACCATAGCTCAATTTATGCAAATTTGCTTCAGATCATTTGATTTGGAGGTAATTTCATTAACGAGCAAAGGGCTCATGTTCTGTTTTTATTTTGGGGCAAGGAGATGACCGTGAACAACAAAACTTCTCTGTCATCAAAGAAGCAAAAATAGAAACTGACATTTTATAGACCAATACCATAATAGTGTCTCTCAAAAATGTGTTTCTAAAGATTATTTTACCAAGTGCTTTGTACAGAATAAGACATTTTGTCATCATTTGAAAATATGTAAAATCAATCATGTCTTTGCAGCTGATACACAAATTTATATTTTTGGCAGTTGTTTTTCCCCCCTATGTAAATGATAATGATTTTTTAGTTAAAATTAACTCACTATTTGCTTATTGTTAAAATCCAGAGCCTATTTAGTTGAACACTTCGCTGTTGTACACTCAGGATTTGAAGAAAAAGACAAAAAGATCTTTAGCAGACTCACTTTGGTTTTATAGTCATTTGCTGCCTTCTAGTGGAAGAGTATTTGATTGTTTTGCCATAGATGAGGACAAATTATTTGCAATGAATAAATAATAATTTTCAGATCAGTTAGGTGAAATTGAGGAAATGTCCACAGCACACCTGATGATTTCTTGCAAATAGCTCATGGCATAGTGTTTGGAAAAACGCTGCACTAGAGGGAAGCACACAATATTACACTTCAAAACCCCATGAAAATTAGGTTCATGTCTGCTTTAGAACATTTGTTGATTGTCCAAAACTGGACAAATTATTCCCATGGCTCTGTCTGGTATTGTCATTTTTGTGCTTAATTGTCACAAAAAAAACCTGCTTTTCCAAAAAAATTGCAGGGGAAAATTCCCCTGTGCTCCATGACTAGACTTTTTTCTTTTTACTACATGGCCTTTGCTGCAACAACAACAATGAATAATTTAAACCGTTAATTAAAGAGAGGCTTTGAAGCCTCCTTAGGAAAAACAGTAGCACACAACAGAAGCTCAAACTATGTTAAATTGAGTGACTCAGCCTGGGCAGTTACAGTCAAAGCAGTTCATCCTCCTATTGGTGAACACGCAGAACCCTGACCTCTCTGTCAAGTTGTTAATTCCAATATAATAATTCTAAAAATACCGATAATATATCTCGTGATGATAAAAAATACTAAATCACCATCATTAACCTCAACTGATTTGTGAAACAACTTTATTCAATAGTTTATTTTCTCATCGCAAGACTTACAAATCTTTAGATTAGAAAAAAGAGGTGGTATGATTGAGCAACCAGAGAAAGTTAGATTATTTGCAACTTTGGAAAAGATTAACAGACACAACTTGAGGAAAACTAAATAGTTCTAATTTTCTGTGTTTGTAAGGAGTGGGAAAGAAGTTTGAACTTCAAGAATTTCTGTTCTCATTATACATAGAAACCAAGCCTGAAAAGTAAAAAAAAAACAGTTTTCGATACTTCTTAAAACGAACTGTAAAAATGGTGGTAATGTAGGTTGTATGGTAGATGGTGAGATAGTAGAGATAAAGAAGAAGTTGTGCCGAGTACTGAGCAGAGGCTGTGAGCAAGATGTGAAGCAGTGACTCACGGCAGGAATAGGCTTGATGACGTTAGTCACTATGCACGCTAGCTTCAGCATGCGTGTGTGTGTGCGCCGGGACTTCCAGCTCTTCTTCCAAAACAACAAGCTCCACGCATGCAATCTAATGTCTAGCCATGGCTCATTACTTCATGTTATGACCTGGGCACAAATAAGTCAGGCCATACAGTAACTGAGCCAAGCTTTAATTAGTCTCTTTTGGTGTTTTCCATACTCGTCTATTCAGGGACTCACTTTTTAAATTTGACAAACTACTTGGCTCAAAAAATTGTGATTCACCCTTCTTTCTTTTTTTTCTTAAAAAAATTGAAATCAGAATTTACATGGTCCTCAATATTTAGATCTATATTAGGTTTCAATTTATAATTGTTTAGCTAAAATATCCAGAATTAGCCCAGAATTTCTTAGCTAGTAAAATGGTCAATGGTCAATGGTACAGTCTTGGTCAAAAATGTTTTGTTTTTGTTAGCCATTAATGGCAGGCCAAAATATCCATATGTTTGACAAAAGGTGAGCACATCAGTATGATTTAACTGAACATATATCAGACTGTTTATAAGCCCGGCACAATAAAGCAATATTTCTTTTGATTTTATAGCTTCCAATAAGTGAGTTAACAGTTAGCTTTGAATTGTTAAGGTTAACTCAAACAAGAGCCACAAAAATGTGAAAAGTCAAATGAAAAGATTTTACATTTGCCAAAAGTGACACACGTTGTATTTCTAAAGGTTAGCTCAATGTAGCATGTAAGAGACAATAATTGTTACATTCACCACAACACATAGATGAAAAATAAGTCAAAGTCATTCAAATGAATGAATAAGAAAAAGCCCCATTTCCAGTAAAGGTGGCCCAGAAACACTCTCTCTCTCTCTCTCTCTCTCTCTCTCTCTTTCTCTCTCTCTCTCTCTCTCTCTCTCCCCCCCCACCCCCCGGTTTGCTTTGCAGACATTTGCACAGTATTCTCGCCCTCTGTGTTTGCCTTATTTTAATAATGCTTCAGTAACTTCCGCCGCAAAAAATTAGTTTTTTCCACTGGGGGTGTCACTAAGCAACGTTGCAGTGCGGAATTAATGCGTCTTTAAGGAGCAAAGATTAGTCTGTTTCCTCCCTTTGATTCTTGGCTGCTGCAGACATGACGGGCAGTCAGGTGGAATGTGTGTGTGTATCTTGGTACAATGGCGCTTGACAAAGGCCCTGGCTGTTTTTGTGAAGGAAAAAAAAAGGTCCACTTGTACATTAGTTGTGATGATAAGCCCCTCTGCAGTTCAGTCCTTGCTCCTTACAGGAAGCCACTGCTCATGGAGTAAACTTAGTGACACCTATTGTATAAGTGTTTGTGCACACGTGTTTTTCTAAATAGCCAACGGCATTAGATTGTTGACTGACCTTAATATTTCCCCTTTTCTTCTCCGTAAGTCAGCTGTGGGGCCAGTGTGTGTATTTTTTTAGAGAAGCACCTGCACTGGGGATTTACAGTGGGATGTTAGAGCACATACTAGGTATTTTCTTTCAGGGAAAGGGCAATGCAGATCTCTCTTCATTTGTCTTCTCCTCACTTATTTTTTTCTGTTTTCCATTTTTTCTCCTTTTTAGAACTCCATTAGACACAACCTGTCACTGCACAGCCGCTTTATCCGCGTTCAGAATGAAGGGACGGGAAAAAGCTCCTGGTGGATGTTAAACCCAGAAGGTGGGAAGAGTGGGAAGTCACCACGACGCAGAGCTGCCTCTATGGACAACAACAGCAAGTTCAGCAAAAGCAGAGGAAGAGCAGCAAAGAAAAAGGTAAGGGCAGGAAAAAAAAAAAAATATATATATATATATATATATATATATATATATATAAACTTCTAGTATAGTAAGTTTACTAGTTTTGACTAGTTTTTTTTGTCATCTGGGTATATCAGTGACATCAAGCCCTTGATTCTATTAGCATTCTTAAAAATTAAAGGTGACCATGTCTCTGTGCCTCTGCAGCTCTCCCTACAGGGTGGTCCTGACGGAGGTGCTGACAGCCCTGGCTCCTACTCTAAGTGGCCCGGAAGCCCCAATTCACACAGCAACGACGACTTTGAGGCATGGAACAGCTTCAGGTCTCGGGCCAGCTCTAATGCTAGCACTCTGAGTGGCCGCCTGTCACCTTTTGTGCCTGAGGACGATCTTGGTGAGGGGGAAGTGCATATGGGTTATCCAGGAGCACCTGGAACCAAAATGACATCCACACTGCCAAGTCTGACAGAGATGACTGGAACTCTGGGACACAGTTCTGAGAATGTGATGGAGAATCTTTTGGACAACCTAAATTTGCTCTCACCCAACAATTCTCAGGTCGGTGCAGGTGCAACCAGCCCTGGCTCATCCCAGTCGTCCCCGTCTCCTATGATGCAGCCCAGCCCCGGCTACCCTGCTTACAGCTCTGCCAGCATGGCCTCACAGCCTCAACAGGAGTATCGGAAATGTGGGTACGGACAACCTGGAATGAACAGCCTGCCATCTATGCCACTGCAACCACTGCCAGAGAGCAAGCCCAGTTTTGTATCAGGTATGGGTCAGTACAGCTGCCCAGCTGGGCTGCTGAAGGAGCTGCTAACTTCAGACAGTGACCAGCACGGAGAGCTGATGCCATCAGTGGACACTGTTGTGTCTCAGTCCACAGGAAGCTGCATGCTGCCGCCTTACAGCAGCAGTCAGCATGCACCCAAACTCATGAGTGGAGGGAACGGTCACATGCATGCTCTGTCTCACGGTCACACTCACAGTGTGCACAACCAGGCTAAGAATGGCCGTTTGCTAATGTCGCTCCACGGTGGAGGCAGCGCCCATTTGCCTGCAACCAAAAGCCCAATGCAGATGTCATATGGTATATCCAGTCACCACGGAGGGGGAGGCATGCCGGGGGGCTTCTGTCCTCTCAACACAAATGGATATGGTCGACTTGGGCCAATGCTGCCATCACACCCAGAGAAGCTCCCCAGCGACTTGGACGACATGTCCATAGAGAAGTTCGAGTTTGACATGGAGACTGTTCTCCATGACACTCTGATGGATGGGGACTCTCTTGATTTCAACTTTGAACCAATGGTTACACCTCAAGGTTTTACCCACGGGGTTAAGACCACCACACACAGCTGGGTGTCAGGATAGACACTGTGGTTTATAACATGCTGTCTATATTAACCGTTTTCTGTCCCAGTTTAATCCCCATTTTCCAGAGCATGTGAGTGTAGATGAGTAGGGGTCAGAGCAGTGTGTTTGGAGTGAGTTTTAAATAACGGAGGAAGACGTGTCCCTGCATTAACTTCGTGAGACAAGTACCGAAGGCGGAAACCAGCAGCTGAACATTGTTTGTATAGGAAAGGGTTAGGATTAAAGTAAATCTCAATATTTTAAGTACATATGAAATAGAAAGGGGTCAATAATTGGGAAAAAAAAACTATTGTCCAAAAAGGTAAAAAGATATGGTACACGAGTAGACTGAGTTATAATTTTGGGAGCCACAGCAGGGCAAGGGTTGACAGGAGCAGCTGCGCTCTTAAGTAAGCGCTGAGCAGCCTTGTTCTTCTGAGAGAAGGAAGGCTGGGAGGAGTCACTTTATGAAGGTAAAATTCTTCACCCTCTGCCACTCACATGCTCTGCCCTCTACTGTCTCTGTACCATAAACATTTCTGTTTCAAAAACTCTTTTTGGATCAGCTCAGCTGACTAAGACCGGTTGTGGTCTTCTGAAGACGTGGCACCATTACAGCTCCTGAACTGAGGACAGTGATGTCAAAAGCAAATACATTCTGAAATATCAAATGTAAAGCTTGATCCAAGTGCCAAACAATTTGCCTTAAATGTAACAGCCAAAAACGGAAGTACATCTTTGTTTACTCACCAAACCCGAAAATACTACACTGTGGTTAAGACTGCAAATGTTCAGAGGTGATACTGCCAACTATATACATCTCGTCAAGTCTATTCTTCAGTCTTCATTGGCAGCAGCAGCACCACAATCTGCAGAGGGGCACAAACTCATACCACGCTGTTTACTCTCTCCACAATCAACCTTTTTGTAAGTGCCGTGTAGTGACAATTGATTTTCACTATGGGCAGTTTGTGAAGGTAATGTGGCTCATGGGTCTGTGGACTGATGTGATTTAAGGTGGGAGACGTCCCAAGGGATCTTTGGATGATGTTACATGAAAACGCTCACTTTGTCACTGCCTGAATGTATATATGTAAAGTTGGCGTGTAGTTTGTAAAACCAGGTCCTTAGAGTTCTTTATGAGATTGTAAATAGTTGTTTTCAGGTTTAAAGCAAAAACAATGGCAGCAGAAATGAGCTCACAGAGAAAACTGGATCAGGTTCTCAGACACGCTGATTAAGTTGCCAGAGCTGTGTTTCCTGACAGGCTGTAAGAAAATATCAAGCTATCTTATTTCTTGTAAATATAACAAGCGTGAATAACGATGCAGTAGGTGTCAAGGAGATTTCATATTTTGACACCCAAATTATATAAGTCATTATGTAGACCGCTTGTAAAAAATGTTTGTAGAGGTATCAATGAGGGGACTGGAAATCCTCCACTGATTTCAGAAATAAATTAGTTTGAAAAAAGTCAATGGGAAAATGAGGATTTGAGGATGACTTCTCTCTCCATTTAAAACACTTTAAACATGATTTTAGGCATTTGTGGTTCTGCTTTTCTTTTGTCTATTTTGTACATCATCACCCAGAGTTTGGAGGACAAAGATCATGCCCATGGTCTGTCCATCTCCCATGGCAGTCTGTGTCTGTTGGCCATTGTTGGTCACAGCTTCACCACATTTCAACCAGTCTCTTTAAAACACTACAGTGATAAATAGTAACCATTTAAGGAAACATCCAGAAAATACACTGACAAATTTAGATTACTATTGATATCTTACATGTTGCCTGTTATGGGCTCACACCTAACATGTGGCAGATAAAAGCATTTATGGCTACATTTTCAAGATTTCAAGAAATGGCCCACATTTTCTTTCCTGGTAAAGAGCGTTCACCGGGCGTTAGAAAAAACACTGGCGTGGACGTTACATGTTTTTTGTGATTATAGAAAAGTCAATCTATTCAGGCCAAGGGTAACTCATCACAAACCTACTTGTTTAAATAAATATAATGGTTAAATATGTTTTACACACAAATGCACTTAAATTCAAAGGTTTTTCAGGTCTTTGCAAAACCCTAACTTCATCAACTTCTTTATGCTGATTATGCCCATATCACTTCCTTTTTGCTTGCACATACTGTATACCTCAGCATGCAGGCCGTAAAAGGCAGCAGCATTTAGGACAGAGAAAAACTGATCATCTTGACTCAGAAGAAACAAGGAAATACGTTTTCAATATCCCCATTAGTCACTGTTTGTCTGAGCCTTGTTGCAGGAAACATTCACCAGTGTTTCTGCATGTAGCAGGTATCTTATTCACACAGTATTTTGCTCTGGAGGGTGTCTTGATGAACAAAATTTAGGTAATTTGGTTTGCAAAAAATCTGCAACTAGACTGACAAGTCTTTATTTGATTCATTATGTTGTGTATGGAGCAGCCGAGTTTTCCCATTGACTTCCATTTACAAGAAGGTACTTCCAAAAAAAAAACGGCGGTTCCTGTCTTTTTATGGTTTCACTTTCTACCAATGTTTGCAACAACCAGATAGCCTTTCCAATTCTTATATGTGGTGAATATAAAATTTATGCTGGAGCATAATCTTCACTCAGAACTTTCTGACTGAAGGTTCTGAGTCATTTATTACTCTGAACCTTTAAGCCACAGAGGCCTATTTAACGTGCCTACCGTGATAATAACCACAGGCTTGAGAGGTTTCCTACTCTAAATGTCAATGGTCCAGAAGATAGTAAAATAAAGTGGTCTTAAAGAAAAGCACTATAAGATCTTCACAGTAGTTGTAGTAAAAAGATATTGATAGCCATGTGTTGTTGTTATTCAGGGTTTCTCAAACACAACATTCCTTAGAAGCTTAGCGGTGGGCAACACCACTTTGTTCAGTTTCTTAAACTTGTAGAGTTGCCTCCTTCTTAACCTTGGAGCATGAGAATGACCTCCGTGACCTGGAACCTTCATAGACACATTGGGAATGTAAGTGCATCCTGGCAGACTCATGAACATCTCACTGCACATGCATCAAAGTAGAATTTAAAATCTGCTAGAGATGGGCCTTAAAGTCACTGTGAGTTCCCTGGTGCAGTGTCACAACATTTTTTCATTCCCCACTCAAAAATGTTAGTGTGACTGATTTAAATTACTTCAGTATGATTCCTTTTGACACAGTCACTGGAATCGGCCTTTTCTGCTCTCAACAAGACTCCAGTTTCACTTTGCCTCTACCTCTATCTCTCTGTCTTTTCTAACAGTAATGTGATAGCTCCAAACACTTTTGAATGCAGGTTCTTCCTGGTTTCTTTTTTAAATATGTTTAAATGCTTTACTATTGAGCATATTCATTTGTATATATGCATTTGGTTCCCCTGTTTATCACATTCATTGTTATGTTGACTTGTCAGACATTGGGTCACTCTAATGCAGAGTCATGCGTAGTTTTGAGTGATGAAGGTGTCTGGAATTGTTTTTTTGTTTTTTTTAACCAAGTCAGTTTGGCTGAAAGACTGAGGCTCAATCCCATTTCACTCTCTTGCCTTTCTGACACGTACCCTTGTGTTTTGCTCATCCAACAGTGCATGAGCTTGGCACAGTAACTGCTATAGCTCTAAAACTTGATAGGGAAGGATCTAGGCTACTATCAAAACTGAATCCAAAGTTTTAATTTGTCTCTTTAATCTGTTAATGTTGCGTTTTTGTTTACTTTCACTTACAAGTGGAAACCAGCTGTAGGACCACCTACAGCACTGACCCCGCCCAACTAACATTAGTACTACCTCAGTTTATTTTTTATTTTATCAGACATAAACCAGGGAACATGAACAAAAGACCATGTACTTACAGGGGTGATCCAAACTTCATGGCTACTGTTTTGATTTGGGATAACTTGATCCAACTTTTTCATTTCCGATACCAATACTGCAACTTGGAGTGTGTGCTGATACAGATATCAGTCCAACGCCTTCTTTTCTCCTCTAGCGGGCTGCCCTTTGCTGAGGTGATTGTGTCTTTGTTTACTACATGTCACTCAAAGCTAAGTTGGCTGACAGGATATAGTTGGTTTTTCAATATCTGATCCTGAAATTTTTTGGAGTCTTCGGTTGCTTAGCATGAGTTTTTAGCTCAGCATACTAGAACTTTCTTGCTGTGTATTTTGCCTGATATATTTAAGGCATTGAAGATATTTTCTGATATGTCTGTCATGGACATACAACACATTATGTCAGTCATATTTTCAAAGATTTTCTCACTACTTACTAGATAGGAGAGCGCTTCTGTAATTTATTTGCAAGGGTTAAACGGTAAAAATTAGACATGGGATTGGGCCTCAGTGTCTACGGAATAGGCAACTGTTTTAGAACAAAAGACTGCCTGTTCAACATTCATCTTTATTGACTAGTGGGCGTAAATGTGCTTTAGTTCAAGTTGTGCTTTGGACATTTCGGCCTCAGACTACAGCAGGAAGCTCGTTCTTTGGCTTTTGTGTTGGACTGAAATCTTGGCTAATCTAGAGCAGTAATGAGACCTGATCTGTCGTGGCTGACTAAGATCTGAAGAAACCTGGGAGAGAAATGACTTACGAAGGTTACATTAAAATATTTACATTTCAAAAGGCTCTGCAGAGAAGCTGTTAAAAAGCTGCTGTTTGGTTTTAGTGATAGGTGTCGCCTTTTCTAACCCAACATGCCATATTGTACTATAGCCAAGTTTGCCTTTGAAGTTAAAGTGATATATTAAGCATTTTATATATATGTATATAAAGTTATATATGTGTTTATATGTACATCTATGTATATATGTAAATATATATGTACACACAGTATATATGTATATATTTACATATATATAAATATATATATATTAGGACTGGGCGATGATTAAAAAATCTCAATCAAAATTCACCGCATGACTTCTTGCGATTAGTCTCGCTGTTATGCAAAATCCAGTAATCAATTTAAAAGTAGTGCATAGCTCACTTTTATTTTAAATCTACTGCCATATGAACCAAAGTGCCATAACGCTTGTTGTGCAAACACTTTTAACATCAGCATTTTCTATGTAGCAGCTAAATGAAATATTTAATGTAAATCTCAAATCACAATGTAATCGAAGCAAATACAAGTAAATACGAAAGCTTATTGCCACTGATGTTATCCTGTTTGTTTCACAGCTGAGATTTACTGTGCAGCGGTTTGTATGTGCATGTTAGCATGTCTGATTGGACAATGACGGTTTGGGGGTGGGGTTTAAAGAAAGCAATTCCCTTCTTTTACTGTTCCTGTGAGCACCGCAGCAGTAAGCAACTGACTTTTACATAATAAAAGTCAGTGAGCAACAGACGTACTAAATAACAGAATGAATTTAATGCCCACCCACACATTAAGGCACAATAAAATATTTCTGTGTTCATTAGTTAATGCGTTAATAACACTTTAAAATGCCCAGCCCTTATATATGTATATATATGTAAATATATATACATACATATATTTATATATATATATATATATATACACATATATATGCATATATATGTATATATAAACGTATATACATTTTATATGTACATATACATTTACATATGTACATATAGTACATGTACACATAAAGTGCCGGTCACTCAAGTCTAAATGAACTGTAATGAATCATTGTAGTCAGTGTCACAGGGTTCATTTTGAAACAGCTATACTAAGTAAATTATATCTCTACATTTATAGATTTGTAAAATCTATGCATTTTATTTTTTAATTTTGAGTTGCTGTTGTTATATTTTTCTCTCTTTTTCAAATTCCGAAAAGATGTTATATTGTACATTAGCGCTGTGAGATTTTACGGTGTCGTTCTTGTTGCTGTTGTCAAAACATTGTTTCCATGATATAGTTCTATGGGGAAAATGAAGTTTATTTAGAAAATAGATGATGCAGTGATTGATGGGCTGAGCTTTTGTAAACTGACAATGTTGTACTTTCTTGTATTTAGCTCGAGTTTTTAGAAGAAAACATTGATATGCTTAAAATTTGTTATATATTGGATTTTTAAAGTATATATACGATATGTAGTTTTACAGAAAAAAAATGCTCAAAAACCAGATTCTGGACCAATTCTTTTGTAATCTTATAAATAGAAACGTTGCACTTTTACTTATGTTTTATAACTAAGTGCTCCTCATGACAGAGGAAGAATATTCAATACATATTTATAAAAGCAAAATCTGTTACATTTAACTTATACAGAAATCAATTGGAATTATTCTGTGTGATTTGCAATCATTAAGAATATATAACTTGTTCAATATTAATGTATTAAGACCTGAATAAATGTACTTCTGTGTTAAAGCTGTGTCCGATCTGTTATGTACAGTAGACAGACACATTGTGTTCAGTCAAGTTATGTTTTTACATGAGGTCTAAGAGGCCATCTGTGGTCCATTTCGAAGAACTCGCGTCAATTCGCCTCAATTCTATAGAGTATATGTACAACATTTAGCAAAAAATTGTATTTTCATAACAAAAAATCTGAAAACATTTGCCTTTTTTAAAATGCAGTGCCTGGTGATCGGAATGAAGTGCTGAATGAAAATGTCAGTTTGCTCTATTTGGCTCTAGGCCAACAAAGAGTTTTATGCTTTTTTTTTTTCCTAAAGTGTTTTTGGTATGACAGACCATGTTGAACAGGTTGTCTGTCCTCAGGACACATTTCTGTTTTAGCAAATAGGACAGCTCACATGGCCAGGAAAACAAAGCGACTTGTGTAACATTTAATGTCCCCACAGTAGTCAAGCAGTCAAGTGAAGCAGAGCTCAGAATCTAGCAGAATGTAAAACAGACCCCAAAAAAGGCTGATTTTCCTGTAAGCCCATAAAAACTATGCAGCCAGAAAGTGTGTTAAATACTATTCATCTTCAAAGGGTAACCTAAGGATAAAGGACTGCAGAGATATAAGCCATGTGCAGAGACTGAATGTATTTAAAAAGTCTCCACTGGAGTGCAACACTCCCACTTCTGGCGTCTCATTTCTTCCCTATAATGATTCCTCCTGGCTTTTCCTTAAAGCCGCATTCCACACCATGCACCCCCTACCACTGAACTCAGTCACCCCAGACACTGAGCTGTGTGCACCGCCTCCCTGGACCCGCTGTCTTTAACTTTGACTTGTATGCAAAGATAGATAACCTTCACCAAACAAGCCGCTGGGGACTAGTCTCATAAAACGCTTTGTTTATGGGAGGCTTCTTTGGAAGTTGCAGTCTATTTCACTTTAGCGCTGTAGCAGGCTTTTACACTGTTCCTTCTGAGGTTCTTTCTCTCTCTGGAACTCATGACTAATTTATTTTACACTTAGACTTATTATTTTTCAGGGTGAGAAAAGCAAGGGTTTTCTTCGGTTAGTTAATAAAGTAACACACTTCTAAGTGTGTCCTGGAATTAAAATACACTTTTTAATTTTTTTTTTTTTTGCAGTGCGAAGCAATGTGGGCCAATGTTTTGGTCTCAGAGTGCGATGGGAGGAGACGATAGGAGGAGTGGTGGAGGTGGTTGGTTGGGCGGGTGGGGAAGGAGTGCAGAGAGGACGCTTGTGAGCACACAGAAAAGGAATGTGGGTGTGGACTGTTGCCAAACGCATATGCGATCCTTATGTTCCCCTGGGTGAAAGAAGGCAGAATGTGGTTAGACGGCCGGGTACATATCAGGACACAGATGCAGTGTGAGGACAGAGGAAGAGGCCAACGGGTTCATACAGTCTGCTGCACCTTTTCTTTTGCGAGTTTCCATTGGTACAGTTTGTTTGCAGAGTTTTAAATAAGTGCAAGTGAGATGACAAAACCCCATTTGAAGCTCTGTTATTGATAGTAGTAACAGGAGAATTCATAATAGATTTTAAATCCTTGTCCTTCTCAATGTGAAACACTGAGTCAATATTTGCAAACTATGATTCAATGATTTCTCATAATTTTTATCTTTTACTTTGTCTGGAATACTTTTATTTGAGACATGCACATTTGTATTTGAGCTGCTACAAAAGCAGCAAAACTGAAGAGCAAATACCTTATTATACTTATTAATCTCAATTTTGCTGTGGATGAATTACAAAAAAATTAAGATTAATTCTGATTGTTATTCATTTTTATTAAATTAGATTCAACATTACGGCAGGTAAAAGTAGGTTTGTCTTTTGAGAATAGTCTCAAATGTGGAATTACTAATATGTAAAAATTACAAAAAAAAAAAACAACACAAAAAGTATAACTCAGAAGTAAGCTTTGTGATGGATTTTAGTCATTACTGAAACTGGTCTGACACAGGTGAGGTATTTGACCTGAAGATAGAGCCTCCACACACACATGCCAGGTGTTGAGGTGGTATTTTATGCACTAGGTGCTTTGTGAAACTAAATCGTCTGTTCAAATAGCAACTAACGCCTGTAGTGTAGCGTGTATTAGTGCAACAATAAGTAAAAGTACAGTACAGTGTGCGTCATTCTCCCATTGTGTTCAAATGCAGTCAAAAGTTTAATCAACTTTATCATCAGAATTAATTAGAGTTATGAAAATAACCACTAAATGAATGGTCAGGTAGGCATTTAACATGTTAATCGTTCAGAAAAGACGCCCTCTGCTTTTTTTTTTACTTGTAGGTCTTATGAAGAAGACGTTGTGGCGTGGAACATCTGCTGCAGCTGATGGGGAGTATTCCTGAAGCACTCACACTCTTTTAGTTTTTGTTTCACTCTGCAGCACTAAGTTCTGCTCTATTGTCTGCTGTTGTGCTTACTCCTTTGTGTTGTCTGGTCCACAGGTCCAAATGGTGTCTGGTACTTTGTCGCTACCCTGTCTGAATTCTGCTCCAACTAAAGTAGGTTGACCTTAATTGATCTTATTATGTTTTAGGTATTGAACTGGGCCATGTGAGAAAACCCTCAGTTCCAGCCACAGGCTACACTTGTAGAAACCAGTTTTCTAAGGTCAACATTCAAAAATACTGTGCCTCCTCTTAGGAAAATCTGATTTTCCATAATTTGTAAGAATTGAATTAAAGTGAATTTCAGGTTAATCTTTCTGGGTTACGGGAAGTAGCGTTTAGACTCAGTAAATCTGCAGGAAGTAATTGTCTGTGTGGGTTGTTTGAAGAAGTAGGCCACTGCAGGTAGAGTGTAGTGTCTGGTTCTGGTTATCAAATCAAATTGTTGCCAAAAAGCTCTCTCCCTGATTGGACCAAAACATTACATTTCAAAGTCTCATCTCTTTTTTTTTATTTAATGATAAAGCTAATGAAAATCCTGGGCCATTGATTAGTTGAAGGTTGTGTGAGAGATCTGTTGTAAAGATTAGAACCAGGGTTTAGATTTATGGACTCAGATGATGTGCTGTGACAAAGAGAAGAATGGCTACGACTGGGTCCCTGTAGGTGATCTATGACAACGTGGACACACAGCCGCATCACTGTGTGTGTGTGTGTGTGTATGTGTATGTGTGTGTGTGTGAACTGTGTCCCTGAAGCTTTTTTTTTCATCACAAATAAGTCTCACGGAGACGAGTGGACTCAGAAGACACAGAGCAGTGGGACCTGTTACTAGTGCAGTGCCGCTGCAGGTGACATAACCCAGGGGCGTGGCCCTGCCTGGTGTCATCCTCCAGAATTCAACCCATTGTGTTATTGGCCTGTTGATCCACAAAATCCTCTCAGCAGTATGAACATTTTAGCATTTTAGCAAAGCCTTATTATGAATGTCTCTCGTGTGTGTCCTAATTGGAGTGTCCAACCAACCGTTTTCATCATCACTACACAGAATAGTTTAGTCTCCAAATTCATCAGGAAAACTCACTATGATTAAAAAGGAAGAAGTAGAAAGAGAGCAGCGTCTCTTCTCCTTCTTCATTCTATTTTGCGTGTATCTTTTAAGGAAACACTGATAAAATCTTCAATTTTGGAAAACAGGTCCCCATGTTGTTTCTTAGCCATCAAAGAAAAAACAAATCTCTTGTTGCCTCAAATGCCCCTCCAGCTCAGGTTTCCTTTTTATAGGCTATCAGATAGTTGTGCTGGTCCTTCCTGTGATTCAGTTTGGCTTTTTAACTGAAGCTGCTCCTGATTCTCAGAGATGAATCAACAAACCACAGAGCCGGCATTTGGGTGTAACTGTGTCGTGCACGTGTCTAATGTGAGCTCCTTACAGTATCTATCACCCAAATTAAGGTAAAGAGCGAGGAGTTGCCACCTTTGGTCCACAAAGTTCTGCTTTGTTCTTAACTTTGCCCTCCTTTTATCTGAGTAGCAAACGTCAGAGCTTCAGTCAGATCAGGCTCACATACCACAGGGCAGTAAGGAAGTCTACAGCTGACGAGCTGACTGACAAAATTGGATTCTAAGGAACTGTGGAGAATATTGTTGAGAACAATGGCTTCACTGAAATTCAAACCACTGTCAAGATGACTGAAAATCACTGTGAAAAGTTCTACTTTTGTGTATTTTTCCATATTAATAATCCAATCATTTGGATATTTAGCCATGTCTATCTGCCTTAGTCTGTTCCAGCAATGCATAGAAAAAATGTCTTCTGTTAAATATGGGAATGATGCTTATCTTGATTAATCACAATTAATCATAACTAATTACAACTAATCCTCAGATTCTCTGTGATTAATCATATTAAAATCTGTCAACCCTAGTAGAAGCCAATTAAATTCTGCTCTGTTGTTATTGAGGCACAGAGCGTCCAATGGTCTGTGGAACTGTTCACCTCTAATGACATCACACAAACCTCAAACTCAGTTTTTAGGATTTTTGTTGGCCCTGCGTCTTTCTCTACACACGGTTAGGTTTTTTTTTATGTTGAGTTTTAAGTAGGGTCTGTATTCTACCCAGATTTGCCCTAAATACTTGGCCTAGAATGCAACTGAGCTGAAAAAATAAAACGTGATCCTGTTTGAACCTTTCCCTTTCTCTCGGGTGAGCTGAAGTGACCTCTCTGGTTGGCCCAGATTTCCTTGAGGTAACTGTAATCTCCTGTGGTTAATTTAGTTTTAATCTGATGTGAATGTACATCATAACTCTAGTCAGAAGCCAGCCTCCTCACCAGAGATACGCCTTCTTCCTGTCCCACAAACGCTTTTGAATGGCGCTGATCAGATGATCTCTTGCGTTCCAGTGCGCTGCATCACGTCACGATCTGCTAAAGAAATCCCTGTTTGGAGCCAACAGACGTCATTAAGAAGCACCACATTTCGGGAGAAAAAAAAAGAGGAGGAGAGGGAGAGGGAGAGAGATGTAGAGCGATAGTAAAAGAGAAACAGATGTAGCTGCACTGCTGTGACGGCTAACAGGAGACGACTTAGCCC